TACTAATGTCTACTCCATCAAAAGAAGTCTCCAATTTAAGAAGCAGGTTATGTTCCAAAAATCCATGTGTAAGTCATGATTTGGCACTTGGAGTGAATTTTACCAGTAGTGGGGGAAATGTTAGAACTGGTGATTAGGCCCCTTGGCCAGCCTGCACAAGTCTGTGTAGCTCTTATATAACCACCTAATGATGCGTTTGCAGTAAAACTAAGAATGATCGTGGGATTCTGGTTACCAAAAACTCTGTTTCCTGGGAGAAGCGTCCAGTTGGAAGATGGGGACGCAGAGGGAACTAGAGAGTCTGCAGGGACATCAGGGGCACTGGGAAGGCTGCTAGAGGCTGGGACACTGTCTAACGCCCACTTTCTTGTTAAAACTTTGAGGATTTGGGTGGTTGGGTGACGCTTGGCGCTAGCATAACTTCTGCAACAACTGTGGTTAGCATTGATAGGACTGATGGACAAAATCATTTATCTGAGGGGATATTAATGATCCTGACGGTAAAGACAGACCAGCAAATCAGAGAAAACATTCCCCCTTCAGTCCTCCGTGTGGTGAGGTCAGCGGAGTTGGTTCCCCATTGGCCCACAGACCCCACAAGCTGGGGCAGCCGGGAGAGAAGATGTGGGTCCCTGGTACGGGAAGAGGAGCCCATGATGCCTGTGAGTCAAGTGGTTCTGGGATGTGATCACATTTATGTCCTGTGTTTACACGTTCTGGGCTGCCTTGCACTTCAGAGTACAAAGCATCTTGTATTTCACTTAGCTTTGGAAAAAGTCTAGTGCCTCTTTAGACAACCCATGATTCCTGTCTTATTGTTCTCAGACATTTGTATGCAGCCTTTTTTGTTGTTAGCAAAAGGGAGGATACATTCTTTGGGGAGAGGAAGCTGAGTGACAGATCCCTCCTGAGCGGCCTCTGGGTGAGTTCTTGCCTTGCCAGCACACTGAAAAGGTGAGGGGAGGCCCGCCTGCAGCCCCTCCCTGGGCTGGTGACACGCAGACCTACCAGAGCTCTATGCCAGGTGCTTAGCCCAGAGAGGGAAACTGCCTTTACTACAACCCCTCCCCATGGTCCCTGCAAAGGAAGGCGGGACCTGTGACCACTTTCAGAAGTGTTAACAAGGGAGGAGGGAAGTCAGCATCCACGGTTTTACGTATATTCTGAGGTTTATAGAGTCTTTGTTTTTCCACTAAAATAATTTACAAAGAAATTTTTGACATCCATATAATTCTTCCATTTCTTATGATGCTGAATTTGTGCGTGTGTTTGAGGAGTCTTTTTCTGTCCAGAAGGGAAATACGGTATGATGCTGGAGTTGTGGCCAACATCTTCTGGGCACCAGTATCAGATTGGACATGCATTGCTGTGGCGTGCTCTGCTCAGGAAGTCCCCTGCTGTGGGGGCATGGAGTAGGTGACAGTGCACACTGGGACCTTCCTGGGGCAGGGGCTAGGCAGGTTTGCCAGGTCCGATGGCCACATGCTCAGACTGAGCCCTGGTGATTTCTTCTGGTGCCTGCGTGTCCGCAGGAGGTGGGGAGAGACCAGGGAGGGACTATTCTGCAGGCTGTTCTACCTGCTTCAAGGAGTGCCCTGCCCAAAGGTTTAGAGGGCTACACCTCATTTCTCTTGTTGGCTTAAATTCACGTGTGGGATAAATAGACCTCAGGCAGTGGGGGGACCCGTTGTTCTTACTGCAGATTCCATTTTGTGCACGTGGTCAGAGGTGAGGTGGGTGAGAGGGGAGGGAGGAGGTTGTGTGTTTTTGCTTTTGTTTATTGACGGATAGAAACATGCTACTGGTAATTCGACTGTTAATTTTCCTTTACATTGAAGCCCTGGACCTTCTAGTAAAAGGAAAAAAAAGTTAAGAACAAAAACCTCATTTCAAGCAAATCCCACTCGTACTATTCTTTTTCTCATGTGCAAACAATGCTACATAACAGAGGACAACGTAATAAGTTCTTGGCAGCTTACAGGGCATGCTTGTTCATTTTTTACGCATTCTAGTCATCAGTTGAGAGAAAACTCTGGTGTCTGATATCTTGGCTTAGCTGATTGCTTTTTATTTTCTTTTGTTTCTTCTTATTCTAGGACCTGAGAGACTTAGGGGAAAGATCATATTTTCTTGAGATTTTTCTAAGACACAAGATATTCTTTTTTTTTTTTATTTGTTATAAACATATAATATATTTTTATCCCCAGGGGTACAGGTCTGTGAATCACCAGGTTTATACACTTCACAGCACTCACCATAGCACATACCCTCCCCAATGTCCATAACCCCACTCCCCTTCTCCCAACCCCCCTCCCCCCATCACCCTCAGTTTGTTTTGTGAGATTAAGAGTCACTTATGGTTTGTCTCCCTCCCAATCCCATCTGGTTTCATTTACTCTTCTCCTACCCCCTTAATCCCGCATGTTGCATCTCCTCTCCCTCATATCAGGGAGATCATATGATAGTTGTCTTTCTCCAATTGACTTATTTCACTAAGCATGATACCCTCTAGTTCCATCCACGTCGTCGCAAATGGCAAGATTTCATTTCTTTTGATGGCTGCATAGTATTCCATTGTGTATATATACCACATCTTCTTGATCCATTCATCTGTTGATGGACATCTAGGTTCTTTCCACAGTTTGGCTATTGTAGACATTGCTGCTATAAACATTCGGGTGCACGTGCCCCTTCGGATCACTACGTTTGTATCTTTAGGGTAAATACCCAGTAGTGCAATTGCTGGGTCATAGGGTAGTTCTATTTTCAACATTTTGAGGAACCTTCATGCTGTTTTCCAGAGTGGTTGCACCAGCTTGCATTCCCACCAACAGTGTAGGAGGGTTCCCCTTTCTCCGCATCCTTGCCAGCATCTGTCATTTCCTGACTTGTTAATTTTAGCCATTATGACTGGTGTGAGGTGATATTTCATTGTGGTTTTGATTTGTATTTCCCTGATGCCGAGTGATGTGGAGCACTTTTTCATGTGTCTGTTGGCCATCTGGATGTCTTCTTTGCAGAAATGTCTGTTCATGTCCTCTGCCCATTTCTTGATTGGATTATTCATTCTTTGGGTGTTGAGTTTTCTAAGTTCTCTATAGATTTTGGACATTAGCCCTTTATCTGATATGTCATTTGCAAATATCTTCTCCCATTCTGTCAGTTGTCTTTTGGTTTTGTTCACTGTTTCCTTTGCTGTGCAGAAGCTTTTGATCTTGATGAAATCCCAATAGTTCATTTTTGCCCTTGCTTCCCTTGCCTTTGGCGATGTTCCTAGGAAGATGTTGCTGCGGCTGAGGTTGAAGAGGTTGCTGCCTGTGTTCTCCTCAAGGATTTTGATGGATTCCTTTCTCACATTGAGGTCCTTCATCCATTTTGAGTCTATTTTCGTGTGTAGTGTAAGGAAATGATCCAATTTCATTTTTCTGCACGTGGCTATCCAATTTCATTTTTCTGCACGTGGCTGTCCAATTTTCCCAACACCATTTATTGAAGAGGCTGTCTTTTTTCCATTGGACATTCTTTCCTGCTTTGTCGAAGATTAGTTGACCATAGAGTTAAGGGTCTATTTCTGGGCTCTCTATTCTGTTCCATTGATCTATGTGTCTGTTTTTGTGCCAGTACCATACTGTCTTGATGATGACAGCTTTGTAATAGAGCTTGAAGTCCGGAATTGTGATGCCACCAACTTTGGCTTTCTTTTTCAATATTCCTTTGGCTATTCGAGGTCTTTTCTGGTTCCATATAAATTTTAGGATTATTTGTTCCATTTCTTTGAAAAAAATGGATGGTACTTTGATAGGAATTGCATTAAATGTGTAGACTGCTTTAGGTAGCATAGACATTTTCACAGTATTTATTCTTTAAATCCAGGAGCATGGAACATTTTTCCATTTCTTTGTGTCTTCCTCAATTTCTTTCATGAATACTTTATAGTTTTCTGTGTATAGATTCTTAGTCTCTTTGGTTAGGTTTATTCCTAGGTATCTTATAGTTTTGGGTGCAATTGTAAATGGGATTGACTCCTTAATTTCTCTTTCTTCTGTCTTATTGCTGGTGTAGAGAAATGCAACTGATTTCTGTGCATTGATTTTATATCCTGACACTTTACTGAATTCCTGTACAAGTTCTAGCAGTTTTGGAGTGGAGTCTTTTGGGTTTTCTACATATAGTATCATATCATCTGCGAAGAGTGATAGTTTGACTTCTTCTTTGCCAATTTGGGATGCCTTTAATTTCCTTTTGTTGTCTGATTGCTGAGGCTAGGACTTCTAGTACTATGTTGAATAGCAGTGGTGATAATGGACATCCCTGCCGAGACACAAGATATTCTTTAAGATTATTCAAATTAAGGGCACCTGGGTGGCTCAGAGGGTTAAGCCTCTCTCTGCCTGCCTCTCTGCCTGCTTGTGATCTCTGCCTGTCAAATAAATAAATAAAATCTTTAAAAAAAAAAGATTATTCAAAATAGGGGTGCCTGGGTGGCTCAATTGGTTAAGCATCTGCCTTCAGCTCAGGTCCTAGGATGGAGCCGTGCTTCTCCCTCTCCAAACTCCCCCTGCTGGTGTTCCCTCTCTCGCCGTGTCTCTCTCTGTCAAATAAATAAATAAAGATCTTCAGGAGGGAAAAAATATCCAGATTATTTTAAACTACACAACTCGCTGCCCTCCTGGGGGCCCTTCATTTTGTCCATCACTCCTGTGTCCTAACGCCCCACACCTGGGTGAAGAGTCAAAGGGTGATGTTGGTGCTCTCTCTTTCCCTGTCCTCCCCGGAGATGCACTAAGACTTACTCCGTACTTCACCCTGAGGACAAGGGCAGGGAGAGAAGGGCCAAAAGCAGAGGTGGGGAGGCGTGGGCGGGACGGTGGCCACTGGGCCCCGTGCAGAGGCTGCTGCTTTCCCTGCGCTCTCGACTCCTTCCAGTATCTTCCCTGTCTTGTCTGCATCTTTGCCTGTCTGCCTGTCACTGGCTGATTTTATATCATTTTCTCTCTTAGGGCCAAGAAGTCAGAACATGGCGGTGAGCGATGGAAACAGTGATTTTGTGGGTCTGGGCAATGGCAGCGTGACAACCAGTGCTCCCACCCTCGGTGCCGTCCCACCCTGTGACGGGGACCTCGCCACCCAGCAGCTTGCAGCCAGAGAGGCCCTGAGAACTAAAGTGAGTCCGAACGGACGCCTGCAGGTCAATGGCACCATGAAGTCCTCCTTTCTGCCCATGGACAGCCACCAAAGAGCGCCCGCCATGCTGTCCCCATGCTGTCACCCGTGCCCATTCCATCGGCCCCTGGCCGGCCAGAGCAGTCACCCAGAGGGCCGGCCCGAGGCTGGCCCAGCCACGCCTTCTGCTCTGGCCTCATGCTGCTTGCAGCCACACTCCGAGTATTCTGCACCTCTGTGCCCCGGCCATACGCCCGTCTACCAGGCTGCGTGCTGCCTGCAGCCCCCTCCGTCCTTCTGCCTGCACCACGCATGGCCTGGCCGTTTCCCACACCAGCCCGGGCAGCCGCACGTGGCCAGCTTCAGGTAAGTGTGCACAGGTTCTGCTCACCTTTGTGCCCCACCAAGTCTGCACAAATGCTCCTGCTTGTGTCAATTTCCCCAAAAGGAGGAGCCCACAGGTGTCAGTGGGAGGAAACCAGAATGCATGTGAAATAATATGTCCCTGTCTCATCCGTTGATAGACCCTTGTGTGCTGCCTGCCTGCCTGTCAGTTCGTTGTCCTGGTGGCCTTGACTTACAACGTTCCATGAAGCTTTTACTGTCAACAGCTGTTGTTACTACTCGTGGGGGACACATCTGTGACAAGGCTGCCTGAACAGGAGTCTTGGTGGTCAGCAACCTTTATGACAATGAAGCAGGTGCTTCCGCATGCTTCGAGCGGCACATCCACCAGCTCTGTTCATGTGCTTTGGTTGACCATGTTGAGATCAGACCATCTCTTAAGGGGGGACCCTGTCGATCTGCAGCATAGGTCTCTGAAAACTACATTTTATGAAGTATTTTTGGGTCTGGTAGACGGAAAAGTGCTGGGCACACCTTTGTCGTATCTGGTACCTGCCCTAGCCCAATGCATGCTTTCTGCTCTGTGTCTCTTCCACATGAACTGCAGGTGAGCGATGCTGGTATTTTCTGAAACACTGAGTGCTTTGTAAGACCAAGTATTAGTTCATGTTTGTTGGTAATGAGCTTTCAGTGAGCTGGGAAAGCACTCTCCTTTGCCAGTGAGGGGAGAGTTCACACCCAGGGAGATGCGCCAGTCTGACATGCACAACTCCATCGGCATTGACCCTTGTGGTCCACACCTCGGCCCACTTGGAGCATTTCTTTCTGGGGTGACAGAGAATGTCTCCTCTGGCCGCCTCCTCCTCGTTCCTGCTGTCTTCACCCCACACAGTCACCACTTTGAGCTCTGCTACCGCGTGCTGGTTTTGCCTAGAAAGCTCGTGCAAATGTGTTCATACAGTGTGTACACATCAGCGTCCCACGGTTTCCACTCAGCATAGTGTTGGAAACACGACTCACTGCCACATAGTTTGCCTTTCTGTTGCTTAGTCACAATGCACTGTGTACCTGGGACAGGCTCGCTGTCACCTACAGAGTCAGTCAGACCTCCAGTTGGGAAGTATGTCCTGGGGAAGTCACGTACATATGGTGTGCTGACTGTAGCTAAGAACACAGGGCTGTGTGCTTGGAAGTGGCTGATAAAGGAGATCTTAAAAGCTCTCATGGCAAGAAAAAGCTTTTGTAACTATGAGTGGTGACAGATTTATTGTGGTGCTAATTTCACAACGTATACAAACATCAAATTATGTTGAAACTAATATAATCCTGTATGTCAATTATAGCTCCATAAAAAAAGGATCAGATCCAGAAAGGGGTTGAGGAATAGATCCTTTTCACCTTTATCAGGTTTGGGTTGCTGTTGACATTATCTGGTTTCACCATTTTAAAAAGAACACAGAGGGAAATGGGGAATGACAGTGGGTCTCGGGGGACCGTCCTCTGCAGTGTGTTCTTGCAGTTTCTAAATACATTTTCCAAGTCAGGGGCGAGAGTCTTTTAGTCACAGAACTACGGGAAGGATGGGCCAAAGCTATTTCTCCGAAGGCTTGTCCTGATAGCGTTGTGCTACGTGACCAGCTCTAGGCTCCTTCTACTTTGAATTAAACTGTGGAAGTGTTTGACTTTAAAATTATATGGTCACTGATAATGACACTTTAGAATCATCAGTTATATGGTTGCAGGATGTGAGGGGAGACAGATACCTCTATATTTTGAGGCTGATCCCACCTTTAAAAAACTTCAGAAAATATTAAACCTATGGGCAGGTAACCCATTCTTTTAATACACAGGCAGAACTTTACCATAGCGTTTCTGCACGTATTCTTAAAGGGATGAGAGTCCTATATTCATACGGCTTTAAATAGGACTGCATGGGGGTGGCTCAGTCAGTTCAGTGGGTGACTCTTGGTGTCAGCTCAGGTCATGATCTCGTGAGAGGTCATGAGATCGAGCCCCACGTCAGGCTCCATGCTGGGTATGGAGTGTTTAAGATGCTCTTTCTCTCTCTCCCTCTGCTCGCCTGTTCTCCCTCTCTCAAATAATAGATTAATAAAATCTTTAATAAAAAATAAAATAAATAAATAGAATAGCATTAAAAAACAGATAAAAATGTCATATTTGTCTATCAAGAAAAGTTGGAGGAAAAAGTGGAATATTTCTTGAGAAATTTTTCCTATCCAGAATGTTTCTCAAGAATTTGAGCCTTTGATCAACTCCGTGTAACAGATGGAATCTTCTACAGATATCTGTACAGGAGTGTCTCTTCGCAGTTGTGTCTATCACATACTTCACTTAGGATGTGTCCTTATAAGCTGTAATTGACATACAGGATTATATTTGTTTCAACATTTACTTATTTATACAATCAACAGTATTATCTGAGTGCATGCCGGGCATCGCAAATGTAATTGTGAACAGGATGAGACTGTGAGGTGGCAGGAAGGGAGAGAGAAAAGCCAGCCACAGGTACGAAATCATGAGGCGTGGTGCAGAGAAGGGGCTCGCAGGCTGCAGGCCAACGCTAGTCACCCATGGGGACGGGAACAGTTTGTGCAATGACGTGTCTCTGTGCCCGCGCCATAGATAGGCCTACCTGACTGGTGTTTGGGTTTGTTTTGGGGTTTTTAGTTTTATTTTATAAAACACCTAAGCCATAGAGAATGTTTTAAAGGGTCAGTCAAGTTGGAACTGTAATTTTATCCTGGTCCATATGTGCTGCTCTTTCCTTACCATCCATAAAGTCATAGGTTCTGTCTCATCCCTTCTTGGCTCTTTATGTTCCAGCACATTGCTCTAAAAGATCCATTACATCAATCACCTGTGTGTACTTTTTTTGCTTTGTAACCTTATCTGTCAATCTGTTGATGGATAAAATGGAGGTCAGTGTGAGAATCATGGTAATACCCTATTTTAATTCCATTTATCACCAAAAATGAAGCAGTTTACCTAGGTATCATTTTAAAGCTTCCAATTTTTCGTTTCTAGATTCCCATCTTCATACCCACAGTCTGGCCATTAATTACCAGGTCTAACCGAGAACACTGAGGAATCCAAAAGGCATAAAGTAATGTCTCCCTACCAAAAGACAAGGCACACACCCCTCTGGCCTTCTGAATCACCTGGGGAGTTAAACATTAAATAAGTGCCATAATAATGATGTTTCCTTTGCAGTAGAAAAAAATAACTCTAGGCAATCAGAGGAGGGAAGGAGCCCTGTGGGTTGATGAGGTGAGAGGCCTTCTGACTGACAGGGGAGGGTTTGGAGGTTGGGGTGGTTTGGGGAGCAGGGGAGGAGCATGGAAGGAGAGGGAGGGAGGGGACATAGCATAGAAGAGGGAGAGGGGAGGAGAGTGGGGATGGAGCACGGGAGAGAAGAGGGGCAGAGCATGGGAGGGGATAGGGGCGGAGCATGGACATCCTGGGGAGGAGGAGGGGAGCGCATGCAGACTGATAGTGTGTGTAAGGATGAGTAGAGTGAACAGGATGGCGGGAGTGGAGGGTTGTGCGTGCCAGAATATGTGTGTGTGTGTGTGTGTGTGTGTGTGCGTGCGCACACATGTGGCAGCATGAGAGTGGGCCCTGCTAGAGTATCTTGAGCCCAGTTTGGTCCTCTGGAGATCTGGAAAGTGCCCTCTGGAGTTTTGGGGTCCTCTTACTGCCATTTGAAGATGAAAGGGTAATAGTATTATACAACAGGATTAGCAAGGAATTCTGCATCCAGAAATAGCAGATTCCCAGTGCAAGCACTGAGCTGTTTTCAATTGAGGCAGAGGATGCCATGAATGATGCTTGGCAAGGCCCAAACTCGTGATCATGGCAGGGATGATGTGAGCTCTGGGTACCCAGCAAGCACACTTCTACTTCCCTGAAGGCAGTCTCGCAGGCAGATGGTCACTCCGAGTGTGCTCCACTGCCAGAGGCTCAAGAGCTGTGCTGTTGAGCAGGCTTGGCATGGAGGAGCCCATGAAAGGGGCTGACAGCGGGGCACAACCTTGTCCCCGCCCCAAACATTGTGCCCTATGCCATTTGTAGTGTGTGTCACCTTCTCCTGTTGTCCTTCTGGATTCTTCCAGCGTCTGGCTCACTTGCTCAGAGGTGTTCTGTTTGCTCTCCCCTAGGAGAGCTTTCAGCTCTTCTTAAAAAAGGTAGGAGGTGATAATTCTTGTTTTATGTTAGGAGAGAATCTACTTCCTGAAATCTGATTTCTTGGTGTACAGTATATCATTAACACTCCGGGCCAGATGACAGCTCTGAGCATTGTTTCTCAAACTGCCTTCCTGTGATGCTCGTGCTCTGCAATGATCCACCCTTTTCCCCTTTCCCGAGCCCTGGCGATGGAGTTATTTCTCTTTAGCTGGGACATTTGAAACAGAAATCACAGTGAACACTTCACTAGCATTGTGGCATGAACCTGGCACTGATGCTGATCCCAGTGTCTGTGATTTGCCCTAATCACTAGACTCAAACCAAATGGCTTTTCTAAGATGCTGGTGCGATGAGTGGACAAATTGCAGGTTAGTGCTTCACTTGCTCAGCAAGTAGTCAATGAGTACTTACATATCTGGTGTCAGGTGCTGAAAGCAGAGGTACAGACCACGTGGTCCTCACCTTCAGAGGTGCGGGGGTGGTGTGGATGGAGTGAGAGCTGGGTCTGGGCCTGGGTGGACTCTAGGTAGGTGCCCACAGTGGTTCCCGAGGTCCAGAAGTGAAACAGCGGCGCTCTTCATCCATATATTAATTCAGAAGGAGAACCAGATCATAGTTGCATAAATTCTTCCCTCCTGTTTTCCTCTCTTACTAAGAGCAACATAATCATGAGCCTTTACCTACAGATGGTGGGACTGCTGGGCAGGCGTGTTGGAGGATGTGGTGGACCCACTGCGTGCTTTAGATGCTCGCTGCTCACAGGGCCCAGTGAACTTCAGAATTCAGTTCTAAGTCTTCTGGGCGCCGTTCACCTG